GATAATGCTTAGAATATATTGCTAGCAACATAAAACGCATTAAGCTGATTTTATTGTCTTTTTTTCCATCTATTTGCATGTTTACTTCTGAAACTGCATGGACATTTCTACTTGACTGACTATAAAAAAGTTCTAATTTCTAAATTTATCTGCAATTTTTTTGATCTCTTTAATCAGGAACACATTGAAATTATAATAGAAAATTAAAATACTACCAAATGTATAAATTTTTTGATACAAACCTTTTATACAATTCTTAATATCCTTTCTTGTTCTGTATGTGCAGAGATCTCGATCATGAATATATTACGTCGGGGTTGTTGATGCCAAGACCTGAATTTGTTCTCAATTTTTTACAATGTTTGATTGAAGTAGTATAGTTATCTACAAGTTTTAATTGTAATCACTAATCTTACCATTATCTTACCAAAAAATCTTGGTCTTCTTTTCAGTTTATGCATTTGTAAACTACAATGACCATGAACGACTTATTTATTGGTTAGAACAGAACTGACTTGGAGAATTCATGAAAATATTACCTTTTTAGGCCTTTTTACTTCTTATACTTGACCTTTCTTTCTAATTTCTTTTATTCGAGATTAAAACACTGAAACTTTTTAGCCGTCACATATTCAACCTTCAGTTGCTTTTCTTGTCTTTGTGTTCCGATGGCAGTGTGAACTAAGACATTTTATTTTATATATTAGATGTATTTCCTTTTCAAATTGACTCGGTTTATTTCTCACTAGAATCACACGACAAAACTAATACTAAATTTTATAATTCCGATGGAAACAGGTGTCTTTCTGATGGAAAATCAACCTTCTAGCATAAATCAAGATTATTTTTAAATATATTTCTGTGTTACGCTGCGCATTGTAACAGTGTCTTCATATTATTTTATAGTGCTTTGCGAATTGTGTCTCTATGAAAAAAATGCCTGTATAGTACCAAATAACTAATTTATTTGTCAAGTAACAATATCTTAGAATCTGTACTAAACAGACTGCACCTGTTGCTAGAAATACTATATCAAAATTATTCATAACACTCTGCTGGTAAGATCGCTTTAAATATTTATGGGGCGAAAATTTTCTCACGTCATTCCTGTAATTAAACGTAATAGCAAATAACTTGTGCAGTCTTCGAAGCTTTTGGCTATTTTATTTTCTGTCACTGTCATGCTGTGATAAAGATAACTTTAAATTTGCTAAACGCAACTTAAACTATAAGAAATTTTCTCTAATGTTTAATTTACAAGAGAAGTATATCAATTTACAGAATAACAAAGTTAAATATTTTCAACTAACATATGTAAGTGAAATTCAAAGTGACATCTTCAATTTTCTGCTCAAAGATGAAATTATTCATAAAAGTTGAGATCCTGCGACTGCCGATCAATTTTTGTTTATTTCAGAAATTCATAATCTGAATTATACTGAAGTTGGATTGCTCACATGATATTTGTAAACAAATATCTAACAACATAATGCTTTTTCAACATGTACTGTACTGCAAGTAGCTTTACATGATTATGAGCTTCCATTTTTTTTTGTAATCAAAATATAGGAAATTATGATTCCACATTATTAGTGTTAATAACTAAAATTTAGGTTAGACTAAAGAATTAAATTTATAATTTTAATGATAACTTTGACACACCAAAAAGTAGAAAGAATTTTTCCCCACTATTGTCTGATATTAAAGAACTTGGTAAGAGATGTAATGATAAAGCCTTCTTCACTGCTTACTTACTGTAGCTTGCTTGTTGAAGAAGAGTGTAATTAAACTAATAACAAGTGAAATAAGCAGAATTTATAATATCACGCAAAGTAACAGTTTAAGAGTCAGAATGAAAATTGTGCATATGAAAGACAAGAGTAAAGTTAGGATATTACTGCATAATATAGCTTAATGCTACTTTTAGTATTTTAGATTAGTATAATGTTCCTCAACTCAGAAGTACAAATTTAGTGCCAAACATAAGAATTCATTATTTCAAATATAACAGAACATCTCTACGTGAAAGGCAAGCATTTTAACTTTACAACTAACACTTTTTGAGCAAAACATCTAAATTCCTTTGCACTTCTTGTATAATCGTATATAATTCTACAAGTTTATCTTTGTTGAGTTCGCAAATCTTCAAACCTTGGTCTGTATCAAATTGTAAGATTGCCTCTACATCATGCATCGTTGGATTGTCACTACTAGAATAGAAATATTTATAAGTCAACACTGATATAAAAGTGAACAGTTTTGTGAGTAAGTTTGAACAGAAGACATTTATTGGAATACAGATTTCCTGAGACATATGAAGGAACGCTGACTTGCCTATAAATCAGATTTGATTTACTATACTCTGATGAAAAAAGAATAATCAAATTATGAATATTTAGAAGCAATTAAAGTTCAGGTGCCATAAAAGGCCTGCCCAGTGTTTTCAAATTACGAACCATTTTTATGCGCTATTTCGTAAATAAAATACTTTTTGCACTCTGTTAAATGTTAAGTGCACATATTTTGTTAAAATGCAAGTAATCTAGAAATATCATGTAGTTAAAAATTATATTATAGTAATTAAACCTTGCAACACACATGCGTAATGTCCAACCGATATCATTAACACAAGGACGCCCAGAAAATGACATACTGCGCAACTTCTCGCTAAGAGTAAAACCATAATCTGACCAAATCTGGACAACAGTATCTCTCATTTCATGATCGAATCCAGCCTATAAATGCTGCAATTGCTGCAACGAATGCAGATTATGATTAATGACAGGAAATTTATAAATTTTGTACCAAATTATAGACATTATAAAGGGTAAGTCAGGAATCAAGACTTACTTCTTTCAAACTTTCAAGCAGAGGTTGCAACTTAGGTTGGTAATACGCAATATTTCTCCATAGCTCGTATATGGTTAACTGAAAGTTAATAAACTATGTATGCCTTCGTGTTTTCTGAACATCACATACATATATGGCAGTTAGTGACAGTTACTGCATAGATAAAAATAATTGCATAATTTTACAACTGCTTAGTTCATAACATAAATATAACTGTTCAAATTTGTGTCAGAAATGTTACAAATTTGGATCCTAATAGATGATTGATTAAAGTGAATAATAATAATTTTAAAAACTAAATGAAAAAGGCATAAAATTTCAGATTCTACTGACAAGGATGAAAATTAAAAGCTTACCAGTACAGTATTTCGAGAAGTGGAATCAATTTCTGAACCTTCTAGTATCTCTTTTAATTCTTCTCCAATCAGCACATCGGTGAGATCAATTTCGTCTGGTATTCTTTCAAGCACAAATTTTGATATGAGCGTAAACTTCAATGCACCCAATTGGATGAGTTGTTCAAAGCTTTCTTTGGATCCAAAAGATAGAAGTTTAAGTGCTTCTGAAGACATCGTAGTTCGTGAAATCGACTTTAACCTCCAATGTTATTAGCATGAAGTTTGAATAAACCTGCTTGCCTCTTACTAACCAATCAGTTACAGATATACAAAATAATAAGGTCCTCGAAACAATCATTTGCAATTCCTTGTCTCACAAAATTTATAGAGTAATTTAGTTGACAACTTACACATTCTTACTATATTTTTCACAAAAATGTATATGTATTAAAATATATGTTAAAAAATTCAGGTGTATGTATTAAAATGTATTTAAAAAATATGCAAACGTATTACATTACAAAATTTACTCACAAGTATTAAAATTGTTGCGATTTGCAAGATTCTAATTCATAATCACATGTGTATTACTGTAAATAATTTATTGGGCATAAACACTAATTGAATTTTTAGAAATTAAATTAAAAAAAAGATATGGTACAAACTTCAGACAAAATCCATTACAATTTACGCAATGACTGGTAATTTTAGAATGTTTTTAATTTTACAAGTAGTAGATTTTGGTCCAAATAATATTAAAAAAGCAGCTTTAAGCTTAAAATTTGGGAGCTAAAATAACCAAACTTAGTCTAATTTTCGAAAGGTCTAAATGAAATTAATCATTTTAGAACGATACTTCTTTTCAAAACATCTGGAACAACGAATTGCATACTAAGCTGTCAAAATGATATAAATTGACACTGTTTTAAAATTTTGGTAACCAAGATCAATCCGTGGATTTAAAATAGATGATATTTTCCAAATTATCAAATTTGGTCAAAGCTTTTTTGATATCAGAAACTTCAGGAATTGTGAAGTCATGTCATTGGATGTAAAAGATGATTGAAATAATGGCTATTTGCTGATTGTATTTGCAAAAAAAAAAATGATGTCAGATTCATTAGTTGTGTTTAAATTTATTAAAGTGTGTTCTTGTTAGTCAAAAGTTTTATTACACGTTTTACGTCAATTTAAAATTGTTATTATAAACTGTATATTCTGTTTTCTGAAAAACTTTTATAAAATTATTTTAGTATATTCTAAACTGAAAATACAAAGATTACTTCTAAATGTAAAGTTATAAAATAAATTTAAGCACAGCAAATCAATTTGACACTAAGATGTCAGATTCATTAGTTGTGTTTAAATTTATTAAAGTGTGTTCTTGTTTCATATTAATCAAAAGTTTATATTACACGTTTCACGTCAATTTAAAATGATTTATTCAACATCAAATATATTTGCATTATATTTTAATCATTTGACAACTCATTATTTTTATTGCTTGATTAAGGTTTTTGCTTTTCATCAATTGTCAACAACTTTATATTAGTGTAAAATATATGAAACATTTGTTTACTCTTCTCTCGATATTAAAAAATTTATTTGCACTCAAATCAAAGAAGGATTACTGTAATAAATAGAAAGTATTACTGTAACATTTTGATGCTTAATCATCTAAAAGTAAAAAAAAATTAATAAATTTATCATGAAATATTTGAATAAAACATTTGTATATATATGTTAATGATAAAATGAAATTGATAAGGCATACAGTAAATTTCAGCAGATAAAGATAAAATCACTCGTTGATCCTTTGCCTTGCCATAATTGAACTGATTTAAAAATTATACAGAAATCATTATTGAGAAAAAATTGAAAGTATGCAGTACAGAGCTTTTTAATAAGGAAAAAATTATTTTAGACAGATTAAATATAATTGGATGATTTATATTAATTCCTTATTAGTTTTTGAGTAAAGTATTATTAATCCATTTCTGATTGAGTATTAATCCATCTCCGGTTAAGAATGCTCAAATTTGACATCGTATTTTCGTATTTTTTATACCAAATTTTGATTTAATGCTAAAAGTTTATATTCAATACTGACTGAAATGTTATTTTTATTTCTGCTTTTCCTATTTATCACTATTTACTGTATTCACACTTCATATTTTATGAAACTTTTTAAAATTATATTTGAAAATTATTTTTTACCTTTCCAATAAGCTATTTTAGCTTAATTTATTTTAAGTTATCTGATATAAAATATTAATTATTCTCAATTCAAGCAATGATAAATGGAAATTTTTTAAATTTTGTTGAAGTTTTCTAGAAAAATTCAATTAAACCTAAGAATTATTATTATGACGATGAAAAAGTAAACGAATTATAGACAGTACATAAATATATATTACTAAATTGGTCGTATGAAGTAGAATAAGAAACTATTTCAAGGCAAGACTGTGCGTTATAATTTTTTTCGGTATACCGTATCCCATTATCCTGAAAAATATACTGTAATTTTTTTAAATGTAATATTTTGTAATAAAGCAAATCAGGAAAATATTCTGTATTAAATTACCTTTTGCAGACAATTACTAAAAATATTCCATTTATCAAAATTTTCACCACAAACGTCGAACATATTCACCACGTACGTCACGAGGAGTTCCAAAGGCTGACATCCCCGTCTGTAGTCAAAAATTTTTGTCATAAGTAAATTAATCACATCATGTTTTTCCTTTAAAAGATTGGGTAACATACTTCAAAATATCGCATTTAAGTTTTTTGACCAGATGATGATTGACGACAAAATAATATCAGTAAATTTTAGTCAGGTAATAACTCAATTAATGAAACGAGTAAATTTCAATCAAATAATTACTGAATGACCTGATTGGCAAATTCAGTTTCTTGACCAGTCCAAAATGGTACTTCAGGTCGACGAGCTAAATCCCCTGGTAGTTCCTCATGTGAATCGTCAACAAACGGCGTATATACCTTAAAATATTCATTAATTTAACCTAATCATTATTTCTACTGCTCAAATTACCATAACATTTATTAAATGAATAAATCACAAACCTGTCGTGGCATACCAAAACCAGTTTTCCCAGATTGAGAATCAAGAAAATTGACTCCCATTTGGTATGGAATCATACCTTGTGACCGTTGCTCTTGAGCTTGCATATTAATTACTGTATTATTCCGAAATGCGCCAAAATTTGTCATTCCCGCCTGTGAGGCACCTCAAAATATTTTTGCGCGAAATATTACTTTTTTCAAAAATTATATCAGATTACAGTTACTTCATCATAGTAACTCAGATTACTAGTCATGATATCCAAGCAATCATCATTATCACGCATTTAATTTGAAATAAATCAAAAACTGGTAATTTGTATTATAAGAATTTCAGTTTTTTAAAAACTTAAGTAAAAATCCCTTCTCGTAAAAATTCAAACTATTCTGAAATGTTGGCACTTTTTCAAATTGTTTACAGAATCAGAAAGCAGTCGTAGAAGATCATTTATGAAGAGTTGTAGTCTTTTTTTTCAAGCAAAATAACACGAACTCTCAAAAGTAAATCCGCACTAGTAATCAGTAGTAATTTGAATTAAAAAAAGATTGTATTTAGCGCAAAAAAGAAAACAAACTTTCAAACAAAAAAAAAATTACTTTTGATTTAATAATAAAAATTAAAAAGAACAAATAAAATAAAATAGCAGATTTACCATCTTTCCAACCGCTTGTTTGTCGTGACATGGAGGATTCATCATTTGGCATTTCACCCCTAATCTCATCCTTATATTTAGTAATATTATGTCGAGGCATTCCAAAGCCAGTCATGCCGGATTGATTAGCAAAGCGGTTGGTACCCATTTGGAGGTGGATAAAACCTTGACTATTGCGGTCCTGATCATCTGTCTTCCTCACTATAATTTTTTTTAAGTTTTTTTTTCAAGTTCATTATTTATCAAATTTGTACAAAACATAATATATATAGGAATAATATAATTAAGTTGTATTTTTGATTAGATATAAATTATCTTTCGATTATAGAAACGGTTAGATTCAAATTTAAAAAACAATCGTTAGATTATAATTTAAAAATAATTTGTCTTTAAATAATAATTATTATTATATATAAAAAATATAATCTGATTAATGAAAGATTTTTGCTATATATACAGGTTAATATTTCAAACATATCATTTTATCGATTTAGTTTAGTATATTACAGTTTTTTATTACAGTAGCAAGAGAGTAAAACTGTAAATTGTATATTAGCCAATATTTCAGAAATAATTATAATATAACTGACCATCAACAATTCTGGGCATACCCATACCAGTCATACCAGCTTGAGATGCTAATTTATTAGTACCAGATTGCAATGGTACAATACCATCAGTTGCTCGAGCCTTTTCTTCTGGTACCTCACTAGCACCTCCGGTGCCTTTTGTCTTGTAATTTACATCTCGAGGTGAGCCGAAACCTTCAATCAAGTAGATTATTTTTTTTCCCTTTGCATTATTCTTGATAAAAATTAATTTTACTCATTAAAAAAATATTTTCATTAACTAATTTACATGTAATTAAAATCAAAATTATCGGTTTTTGCAGTAATAATAATTATTATTGTTTAAAAAAAAGTAACCAAATCATACCGGTCTGGCCCTTTTGTGAGGCAAATTTATTAGTACCAGACTGTAGCCAAGTTGACTGTTTTAAATTTTTGATTTTTTCTGCATCTGTTATCTCTTTCAAGTTATCAGCTTTAACCTTATCAATCACATCACGAGGGACGCCAAAACCTGAAATTAACTTTACGTTTATATTTTGATTCTTTTCATATAAATATTTTTACACATTCAAAAGTCATCACAATTTGGTCAATTTATGACTCAAATATTTTTCAAAATACAAAAAAAAAGTTTATAAAATATAAAAATTTATATTTAATAAAATAAATTACGTTTCTTTCTTAATTTTTGATGAATATCTTCTATAGTATTCCAAATTAATAATTTTTTAAAACCATTTTTGACGGATATTTTTTGATACCTTAAAGTTTTATTTAATTTTATTTATTAAGATTTTTTATGATACTAACAAAGTAATCTATACTTAACACGAATTTATTAATTCATTATATATTGTTAATTAGTATTTTAGTGAAATCTATGCTGTAAAGATGATTATTTCTGTTGCAACTAATTAGTAATATCTTTAATTTGCATGTAAGAATGTCAATTTTATTTGCAAAAAAATGAGAAATAACAAATTTTTACTAGCCATTTTTTGATATTTCAAGGAGATCAAAATGGGATCAATGTAGGGTAAATCAAATCACATATCCATCTAATTAATTTTTTATGTCTTATCATTTGACAAGAATCAATTCATTTTTTATGCTTTATAATTCGATAACGATCAACTAATTTTTTTAATCTCTTATCACTTGATAACAACTGATCATTTATGCTACTTCAATTTTTGTTCACTATAAATTAAACTTAAAATTGTACTTAAGAAATAAGTTTAAAGACATATTTTTGTAAAAGATATAGACTTTAAGTTTTATTTAATCGATATTTAAATTTTATAGCACAAATTTGCATATAATTTAACTTGTCTAACTTTGGTTACTCGTCCAAGTAACTCTAACTCTAAATTGATACATCAACATTGCTTGATTGCTTGCTTTTATTTAGGTTAGAATTAAAATTTTGACTCATATATTTTGAGTATATTTTTAACTTATTTTTAAAGTACAATTTGAGAAAGAAAAGTTTAGTATTAGTCTAAATGAAAGTAAGAAAGAAAGAGTGCTGAAAACAACTAAAATTACGAGCAATTTCACGTCATTGGCGCATAACTTTAAACAAGTCAAAGAAACGTTAGAATAGCAAATTCGAAGAGTAACAGCTGCCATGTTGCTGTAAGCATTTCAAATAAAAATACTTTTTGAAAATTATACTTTTTCTCAAATCGATGTAAAGTTTTCACAAAACAATGCTAATGTTTTCATTCATAAAAATAAATTTCAAAAAAATATTAAAAAATTTTAAAAATTAGTAAATTAATTACTTAACTGATTAATTAATTAATTGATTGCGTTTTTATAGCATTAAATTAATGACAAGTTTTGATAAGATTAATAAAGAGCATCCATTAAGTCAAATTATTCTATTAAATTTGAAGACTTATTTATTTTTCTAGCTGATAAAAAAGTTTTATAATAAATTAGAAATTCACATAGCATTTATTTGCGCTAAAAAATATTAATATACAAATTTAGTTTTTTCCTGATGAATAATTTAAAATAAATAAATAAATAAATTTAAGTAAGAAATTTGCAAACTGTTCATTAATAGTAAAGTACACGTAGGTAATTTCTCCGTTAGAAATCATTAAATTAAGTTAATTCTATTCATATATCTTTAATAAAATTCAGTAATTCATTTTCAAATTATATACATTCATGGATGAATTTGATCTCAAAAATACCGCCTAAATTCAAAACTAATCAAAAATTGCATGTACAGTTAGTTATATTTTGTACTAAGTTTTCAACTAAAAAAATTGTAAATTTCATTTCCTTATTCATTTAAATCTTTATTTTTGTACCATTTTTAGAATAATTCTCAATATTAATTAACTTTTTAACAATTTGTGAAAATAACTATGTGACTTATCAAAAATTTGAATATATGTATAAGATTTGAACTTTAACTTTTGTGATTAATAAAAATTATTAATGAAAATGTTTATTTTTTAAATTATAACTTTTATTATCATTAATAATTTTTTCGTACTGTCACTGTTTAATATCTTACCAGTCATTCCTTGTTGAGATGCATATTTATTCGAACCAGCTTGGATTGGTATTATTCCCTCAGATCTCATTAACTTATCTTTGTCGTGTTTTGATGGTTTACCTCCCGAATAATTTGCAAGACGTCGCTGAACTGATTTTGGTACATCTGGCATTCCATATTGACGACCTGGTGTGGGACTTTTGATACCAATCGGTACCGAGTTTTTAGGTTTTTCCTGTTAAATTGTACAAAAATTAAAATACTCTCTTTTTTTTTGCGTATTTTCCAAAAATATATATATATGTAAACTACTCAAATTTTCAGATTCATTAATTCTCAATGATTAATCAATAAAAAATCTTAACCCAATCCAATTTTAAGTTTATAATTTGAAATATAACTTTTGAAAATTGCAGTAATTTTATATTAAGAAAAATAGTACTATTATACTCAAGACTAAATTTGTAAAGTCCTTTAGATGCATTAAAAATCCTCAACTAAATTTTAAAAAATATTTAAATATTAGATAAGATTAAAAATAAGTAACTACATTTAAAAAATTATTAATATTATTTTATTTTTTTTCTCAAAGTATTATATAGCGTTATTATCAATTCTAAGCATCAATTCTTTTCCAATTTGAGTACTAATATCATTTCGAGTACTAAAATCCCATCTATTATTATCTGATTATCTATTACTTGTAATCAATCACATGATATAGAATTTAAAAAATGCTTAGATATGTGTTGTTCGAGAATTGACATTATCATCTGATCAAGTTCAATAAGCTAGCTTGACTGATTAAACCTTATTGATCTAAACAACTATTCAACAACAATAAACATACAAAAAGTTTTAAAAGGTAAACTTATGCTAACATTCTTATCACCATCTTCATCTCCTTGAACTTCATCATCTCTCAAGTCTTCGTCAGCCATACTTTTACTTCTTATCCCAAACTGATCCTTTACTTCAACTTCTGTTGCCACTAAACCTTACGGCTGTTACGCTTGCAATCTACAATTTCTCCTATAGCTAACATGTAAATTTCACTTTGTATATGTATGTGTGTATGAATTGTGTATGCGGCTGTTTCACGAGACGTTAAAGTTTAAATGAATAATATCATTTCAAACTGCAAAAGTTTAGCAGAGAGAAAAGCTGAAATTGCATTAGTCTGTGTTATTAATGGATGAATTATAAATATAGTTGCACATTGAGAACTTGCGCTATTTTTGTTATTAAAACGTAAAATTTACTTGAAAAATTTTGTTTTCCCGCAAAATTAACTTATATTTACCGCATTTTTTAGCAAATATACGAACATTTGAAATTTGAAATCAAAAAATTTTATAAATTCATCAAGTTGCAAAAAAATGAGATACTGAAATTCTTAAATTTTCATAATTGCAATAAATAAAATAATAAAACTTTATAATTGTGGTGAATAAGTGTGTAAACTTGCGGTAAATCAAAAGTAAACTTGATCAAAAATATTAAAATAATATATAAATATTAAAAAAGTTAGGCAAAGGAATAAAATCTCACACATATTTAAAAAGAGCAAAATTTGATAAATTTTTAAATTCAAATATTTTTTGGTTATTATTATTGCTAGCATAGAAATGTATACTTCAAAAATATTACAAACTTTATTTTTTGCAAAATTAAATTTTACTTATTGTAATTTTATACAGTTTAGCATAAATAACTTTTAATAAATTTTGAAATTAATAACTTTGCTAAATTTAAAATAATTTTGTGGGAAGATACATTTAATAACAAAAAAGCTGAATAGATTTTATCATATTCGCTCGAATACAAATAATTTGCAAAATTTTTTGAAATAAATAACAAAATATATTCTTTTGTTAACTCAAATAAAAGAATAAAATAAAAATTACTAATTACCGCCTTTTTTATTTGAAAATTTGAAATATTTTATAAGCAAAATAAGTAAGAATAAAATCTTTGCTAAGCATAAAAATAGAACAATTGATAAAATTGAAAAGAATTTTAAATTTATTAGTTTTGCATCGCAAACAAAAAATAAATTTCTGATTTGATTTTCGAAATAGATATCAAATGTTTTATTTTCAATGTTTGATATTTTGTCAATATTTTAAATTGATAATTTTAACAATTCTTAGTTATAATTTTGCTTATTAAATTTCTTTTTATATTTAAATTTCGTTAAAAAATGTTTATTATTTGCTGTAGAATAAATGATTTAAAGCAAGCATGTACAAAAAATCTGCAAAGTTTAATGTTTGAAACAAAATGGATAAAATTTAACGTTACGTTTCACGTAATCAGCGCATATGAGCATAATATTTGATATTAGGAGAGGTCAAGAAATTTACACTATTTTAACTAATTGATCGGCTAACATTAGTAAATTATTAACTTATATTGGAACTTTGCTAAAATACTGTAAAGCAAATACAGTAAAAATCAAGGGATTATTGATTTTTATAAATATTTGCTCTTTATTTTTTATTCCACAATATTCAATAACAATTATCAAATTAAAATGTGCAAAATAAAATTTACAATTATCATTTTACGTATTTTAATTTAGAAAAAGATTTATAACTTAAAGTAAGTATTGTTTACTTTACTTTAAATACTGAGTAGTAACATTTGATGCACAGATTTTCAAGTAAGTATATATATGGTATAATAAACAAAATAAAATTATGTTCAATATATAGAGTATTTTTCCTATGTAATTTTACTGAGAAACGCTGACAGAACTTAAATCTATAGTAAAAATGAAAAGGAGGGAATGATAGAAAAAAACGTGTTAATACGTGAAGTAGGAAAGTAGTAAGTAACTGAAAAGTTTTTTAATACAGATTCTCATCTTGTTTCCCAAAATAAAGTCTACTCATACTTCGGCATTTTTTAAAATTTTTGCTAAAAAGTATAGTAAAAATTGAAGCAAGGAAACATATTTTTATATTCTTTTGGTGAAATATATACTGACGTACGCACACGCAAAAAAAAGTAAATATTTTAGTATGAGCAAAGAAAGAAAAAGTGAGGCAAATGTTGAAAGTAAGCTTGCAATGCTTATCGCCCACTTCTTAAGCTCGAGAAGCTCGAGAAACAAGCAATCTTGATGGATTAGATAGATAGGTATATAGGTAGATAGATAGATAGATAGATAGATAGATGGATGGATAGATAGATGGATAGATGGATAGATAAACATTTTGTTCATTATCATAAATCCAAGCAATATTTGCACTTCCTTAGCCAAATATTATGTAAATGATAATAGGCTACACCAATGCCTTATCATTAATTTGTTTCTCCTACGTAGAAGTTTCGAACAATTACGCTTACATATTAATACTTAAGCTTACATACGTGTACGGAAAGCTGCTCAAGAGTGAAGGGTGTGGAAATACGGCAATTGTCAGTCACAAAAATAAAATCCGCAAGTGATCGATCATTTTTAATTAATCATCTGATTAATATTAAATGTTGTTAGTAAAACGCTGAATTCACGCTATTGACGTCACTAACAACAACTTTACAACTAATTTTCTGAATCTCTTGTTTACATATTTCAAACCTAGAAAGCTCATAATAACTTGTTACTGTTAATAGATCATTGCTGTAACTCAAATCTAATTTGAAATACTTTTATCTGACCTGATTTATTGAGCTTACTCTTATTTTTTATAAAGACATACTTAGAATATCTGTCATTACTTTTCGCTTAATCTAATCTACACATAATTTCGTAGAATAAAAAGTAAAATGTGGAAGCAATTTAAGCAACAAAAAGATACGCTCACATTTACATTACAAATAATTATGACAGAAAGTCGAAACTTTTCAGCACATTCAATTTTTAAAAATATGAACGAATTTTGTTACTTTATTAACTTTCTAAACTTTAAATACAAACATTTACAATATTCTTATCTTAAAACTGTGAGAAATTAGCTAACGCAGAAACTGTGCATTTTTTGTAGATGTTTTAATATAATAATTATCATTATCATTATTATTGTTAATTAAAAAACTATTTAAATACATATCTAAACTCAAGTTCAAATATTACTATTATTATCATTATTATTATTTATTAAAAAATTGTATAGATACATATTTAAAGTTAAGTTTAAATATTGCTATCATTACTATCATTATTATTTTTGATTAAAAAATTATATAGATACATATTTAAAAGTTCAAATATTGCTATTATTAATATTATCACTATCATTATTTATTATTACTGTTACTGTTATTATTATTATTATTATTGTTATTATTATTATTATTATTAGTTATTATCTCGGTATTAACATTATTGTCGTTAAATATGACATTGGTGGATAAATTGTAATTATTATTTTTCAATATCATAATAAGTGAAAATAGGCTTAATAACTGTTTTAAAAAAAAGCGCATATTTTTAAAAACATTTGAAACTTACCAATAGTGCATTATGACTTGAATATTTGCACCGCAATTTATGCGTACATTTGTTGCTGTAATGTGTTTAAAACACATGCGTAGTTGTAAAAGTTTTTCAAATTTTCTTTGCTTATTTCTATTTTATTTTAGTTCATTTTCTTCACACTTGTTAGCCATTAGTACACCAAAATGTGTACTAATATTTATGCATTCAAAAAAATACTTAAACCCAGATATATACATAAAAATAGTTGATAACAAATATACAAATGCTTGATAATAATAGTAATAATAATAATATTATTATTAATGATATTATTATTATCATTAATATTGTGTATTATTATTGCTATTATTATTGATATTAATAGCAATAATGATAATAGTAATAATAACAACTAAAATAGAGGTTAGTTCTCCTTTGTCATTATTTGTATGGAATCCGATTGTGCTCTAGCACCTTCATAGTGTACCTCTAAAACTTAAACATGTAATGCTGATCTCCACTGCTTCATCATCATGATATGCATATCCGTAGTGGAATTAAATCTGAAATGCATGGAATGAGATCAGAAATTGCCTTCTGAATGCACATCGGGATTCATAACTTCTAATTTTACTTTCGTAAACTCTAACATGCTTAAAGCTTAATGGCAGTTACGCTTAAGATCAAGTATGAGATTCATACGTCTCGTACACTTCTTATTCTCTCTTAAGTTTTTACCTTCAAGATTTTCATCGGCCAAACTCCATTCTTTGAGAGCTTTATCAAAATTAAACCAACTTAGCTGCTTTTCCATGCCCACCTTTACCCCGATGGTTCCTTCTTCGTCTTACTTTTTCATAGCACTGAAAGAGGTACCTGAAGTCCTTTTGTAGTTTCAGTCCGTGACTTAGGCAGATTCTTGTTTCTGTGGCACCTTAATTTCACAGATGAGTGCTTCCAACGTAGATTATCATGTTGGTACTTGTCTTCTGTATGCTTCTTGCGAGTAATTCTAATAATTTATTTTCCTCATTTCTTATCACTCTTTGGGCTATACAGTTACTTGCAATGAAATCAATCATTTTTCAAATGAGTATTTGCGTGTTATTCTTTTACCGCTCATTTTAATATTAGTAAAAAACTGACTTATGAATGCTTGTCTTTAAAAGATTAATCTAGAAAACAATTTAATAAAGCCAACAAAAAAGCGTAGTTGTTCATAAGCAATAATAACTTAGTACCAATGATAATAATACAGTATGAATACAAAGTATAATCACGATAAATGCATACATAACAAATAATGATTTTCGTATCAATAATTTTTGATAGATAGACTTGAAGAAATTAGAACTGAGAAGAATTCTTCAATCCTATCATCAAATGATTACTTAGATATATACGATTGCTTGATTGAATATTAGAACCAACCATTATCACATTTCCTTTCATCTTTTTTTCAATGTTAAACAAAGCCAATAAAGTTCTGCGGAATGGAGGCACAATAATTACTGC